CAACAGAACTGCCACCATTCCCTTCCAACACTGCCCGCAAGCGTTTCATTCACAGGTCCCTCCAGTTCTTCCTTCGTGGAGACCAGCTCTTTAAATGTCAAGGCCCCCATCCTCCAGCTAAGGTCATCTTCGACCCAGGTCTCTGTGCTCAGATCCTCGGTCATGCTCATGAAAAACTTGGTCATCGTGGAGTCTTTGGAGTCTTTCAGACCATCAGACAGTGCTTTTATTGGCCTCAGCTCTATCAAGATGTTGCCCACCATGTCCGTTCCTGCCATGAATGCCAGATCCGAAGCACTCATAAGGCAGAGGTCCCCATCACCATCTCCACTTCCCCTAGAATCTTCATGAAGGTTTATGTTGATGTCATGCTCATGCCCAAAGCTCAGTGGATATCGCTATCTTGTTGCAGCTCGAGATGATCTTTCCCTCGCTGCAGAAGGTCGTGCTCTTCGACATGCTAATGCAGACAGTCTTGCTAGGTTCTTCTGGGAAGAGGTTTTCTGTCGTTATGGTGTTGTTGCGCAGGTTGTCACTGATAATGGCAGTGAGGTCAAGGGTGCCTTTGAGAAACTCATGAGGCACTATTCCATTCTGCAGATTCACATCTCCCCATATAATTCAAAAGCAAATGGAGTTGTAGAGCGTGGACACTTTGTTATCAGAGAGGCTATCATCAAGGCTTGTGAAGGAGACCTTTCGCTCTGGCCTTCCAAGGTTCATCATGCTTTCTTTGCAGACAGGGTTACTACTCGTCGCTCCACTGGATTCAGCCCTTACTTCCTGCTCCATGGTCTTGATCCCGTCTTGCCCTTTGATCTCTTTGAGTCTACATATCTCATTGAAGGATTCCGGTCTGGAATGACTTCTCAGGAGCTCCTCACACTTCGCATTCGTCAGTTGGAGAAGAGAGAGGAGGACATCAATGCCGCTTTCACCACTCTGCAGAGATCTCGTTTGCACTCCAAGGGTCAGTTTGAGAGGAGGTATGCATTATGATTGGTGAAGTCTGCTTATGAGCCAGGAGACTTGGTATTGGTTTGCAACACTCAAGTGGAAAAGGAACTGGATCGTAAATCAAAGCCACGCTACCTTGGTCCCTATGAGGTTGTTCGTCGCACCAAGGGAGGTTCCTATGTTGTTAAAGAACTTGATGGCACCATTTCAGCTTGGGGAGTCGCAGTGTTTCGACTCATTCCCTATTATTCCTGACACACTCCCTTACCAGAAGTTATGGAAAAAGATAGCCAGGAAGAAGGGGGAGGTAATGGCAATGATGATGATGAAAATGATGATGAAGACGAAGATGAGGAAAACCAAGAACACAATAATGAAAATGACTATGACTCAGATGACTATTCATGATTTCTCCTTTCTCTTTTGATTTCTTACCTTTATCCTCTCTCATTCTTTTCTTCATTTCCTTTGGGTTTTTCTGTCTTCCCTGGGTTCCCTGCATTGGTTGCAATCAGGGACAATTGCATTTCTTCTTGCCAGTGGATGTCACACACCAAAGGTGTTTGGTGAGGTGGACATGGATGTAGCTGATGAATGGAGGTGAAGACCATAGCCCTCATGCGAAGAAGGACAGCCAGCAATGTCGGCAGTCATCCCTCGCACAAGAACAGGTTGTCAGTGCCAAAGAAAAAGGAGGAGGTGAGTTAAGCACCAATAAAATTCTTAAGCGCCCGTGTACAGCATTCCAGTTTTTGACGTATCTCCACCAATTCTGCAGACACCGAAACCATTCCCACACTCACTTGTAGTGCTCAGCCACACAATCCTACCTTCCAAGATTGGAAAGGATTTGCACACTCCACATGTTTCTACAGCACTCCCTCCAAAAGACACTCATTTCGCTAATTCTTCTGATATGGCTGCCTCCACATCAGTCATTTTCGCTTGTCCCCTTTGCTAGGGACCATGGCTACATATATCTACCAGGAGTTCCTACCAGCTTCTGTCCTGAAGCATCCTGGTACATCCCACCCTCATCTGCCCCCTCTCAGCCCATCCAGCTTGGACAGCATGTTCTTTTTGTCAGTATGACCTCCAGGAGGACGTTCTTTGGTTGCCTCAGGTCTGTCATTCGCTTGGAAAGGTCTTATGTGGTCGTTTCAGTCTCTCTGGTCCAAGAAGCATATGGATCCTTCCTCCCTGCCCCCTGCAACATCTTCATACCAGTCTCGTCCATCATTCTTCCAAAATTGCAACAGCTACAGTATAATCTACTGTTCTCCACTCTCCCTGATCACATCCATGACAAGTATGATGCACATCTTGCCTCCTTGTTGCAAGATACAGCAGAAGGCGCTCCCCCTTCATCCTCTCTTCCAACAGAGCCTCGTTCATGAAGTTTTTATTTGCTTCACTGAGAGGATGGTTTGGGGGGGAAAGTTGCGATCCCCTATGCTCCTGTCACCCCACAGACCCCCAAAGCTTGACCCCTGTTGACATCTGACTCACCCTGTCTGCTTTTGGATGTACTATATTGGCATCAGATCAGCGCTGCCTCTCTGTCATCCCACTTTGGCCTAGAAGCGATCTCTTCAAGATGTGACATGCACAGCCTCCCCCTAATGCGATTCCAGTGCACTTTCCCAGTTCCTGACATTGCTTGACTCATACTTTGACATTCTGACTGTCTTTGACTCACCTATTGCCAATACTTACCAATCTTTTGACTTTGCTTACTGATTCTTCGCTTTTTGGCTTACTTATCCTTACCAATGCTTACCAATGCTTTCCAAGATGATTACCCATCGCTTACATTCCTTACTCATCAGTTACCAATCACTTACCAAGTGTTTGCACCTTGTTTTCCATAGGCAACACCCCTGTACTGTATATAAGTCACTGTACTTAGGTAGAAAAAAAAAAGACATCAGAGAGCCCCTCTTGCTCGCAATTTATCATCTCTCAGTAAATCATTCATCAGCTTTGATAGTTGAGACTTTATTAAGGGTCTAGCTATCATCTACTTCGCTTATCATCATCTATCATCCATATACTTCACTCCAAGCCCTCCCTGAGCTCAGTACAGCTTAGGACATCAAATTAAGTCACCATCCATCCTTCTGTAGGCTGACAGCAGTCTACTCTATCACTTTCTATCACAGTCTTGCTCCCTCTTTGTCAGGAGCACCCCCAACCCTCAGCACTCATCTTTGAGTGTTGTAGCTCACAGAAACCCTCCCAAAAAAACAGGTTCTACCATCTAGGTACCACATAGGCACACCACCACTCGCTTTTGTTGTCTTTTGTGTTGGTTTTGGTTGGTTTTCACCACTGAACCACACTTTGACTCACAATGGGAGCACACCCTTGCAACTCTGCAGTGAGCAGGGTCCATGGCCATCAACAGATGTGTTAGCTGCTCTCGCACTGGGACAGATCATCAGGATGAGAGGGATGAAAACAGTGTCACATGTGGCTACTGACCTGAGTTTGGCAGTGGATTGAGCTTCAGAGGTGTCCCACATGGTTGCCAACTCGAGTTCAGCAGCGGATTGAGCCTCAGTAGAGCACTTGGGGAGGGTGACACTGGAGGAGCTCGACGGCGAGGAGGGGACCGTCGAAGGAGTGGCCGTTATCGCCTGGTCTGTGGGCAGCGAATCAGCAAGGAGGGGGGGTCCAGCATCTGTTGCGATCGTTTCCCAGCGGGAGGATGGTGCGATGGCAAGCGACAGCTGGCAGGGAAATGAATGAATTAACGAAATCAGACGCAAAAAGTACGTAATAAACAATCAATCGGCGCTCTGTTCGACCGAGAGAGAGAGAGAGAGAGAGAGAGAGAGAGGCAGAGGCAGAGGCAGGCGCGATAAGTGCAGGCAGGCGAGCGACAGGCGAGCGACATGCATGCACAGACAGGCGATTACCATAATAGTAAGTGCAGCCCAGGCACGTGGCCAGGTCACGTGCGGAGAAAAGACGGCCCCGCCACCGCCACCGCGACGGTTCACGTCACGGCCAGGTCACGAGGTGCGGTGGCACTGCGGTGGCCCCACCGGCAGGTGCCGGGGCGTGACAGCGGAGCGTCTGTTCTCGGAGAGAAGTTACCTTAGCGATCATTGGAAGTCCTGCAACAAATACACACCCCGGGCAATGAAGCCGAAGGTGCATCTCGATCGGTGTGCACTTCCCCGGATCCTACGAAGTAATGCTGCGGCACCAGTTTTATTCCTTAATGCTCTGGCATATATTTTAGGAAGGATTTGCAAGACTTTGGCCATGGAAACGAAGAAAGCTGTGAGCAGCGGGCTCGCCATGTGGACCTCAGCAACTTGCTTTTCCTCGAGCATGAACACAACAATCCATTTGCCAGCTTATTATCGGCGCCAACACAGCCAACTGATGCGAGGGGAGAAGGAATAGAACTAGTAATTAGGACAGCGCTCGGAGTGTAGCACCTACTATTGGTAGTGCCATTCCGCTAGCGACCAACTTGGCAAAGGTCAAAGGCCAATGTCATCCAATGTCTGATATAACCGCGCTGAAAACTTCATATGACTTTCTTGGATGCCTCTGCCAAATACTTCCATGAACCTCTGTCTTGCGGCCCTATCCGGTTCGTATTGGTGCGACCTCTCGTAGGCTTCTTCACGTGTGCTAACAAACTCCCAGCGTGTGAGCACAAAGAAGGCGCAGGAATCGTAACCCACGTGGGCATCGAGAAGATAGTCTAAAGGATATTGATATTAGCGCGAGTGCTGTAAGAGATTGTAACGGCGAACAAACATAAGATTCGAGGAGTTCGGGGGTTGGACCGCACATCGTCCATAAGCTGACCTTTCTAACGACGGGATCCACAGTTGTGACCTCTCTTCCTTCCGGGTCTAAGTTTGAGAGTTCTTCATCCTCTGATGTCCATGGTACCTCCATGTTAGCCAGAAGTTCGTTCTTTCATGACATGTTGTTCGATGATATATCCGGCTGTTACTTTAACGGTCGGCATATATTGAATAGGGGTAGATTGCGGTGCTGTGCCTCCTAGAGTGGAACGTGGATGCAACAAGTTGTTTTGTTTTTTTTTGCCGGCTCTCACAATTTCCAAGACAACTACAAACATGACAGCAACCTCACTGCAGGACATCAGCTCATCGTCGTATTCCGACGACGATCTAGAATGTTGTTGCGAATTACAAGCAGAAGAATGGGAAGTGCTTCAGGTGAGTGTCTGTACTTTGTTGACACACCCCCCACCCATCTTGTGTGTAGTCCATTCACCCGACCATTTGCACCTCGAAATCCAATGGAACTGTCAGGCTTGAGGTACCCGTCGAACTTGACACCGAAAGACAAATTGAGATCGTTCCTATACCGCATGAGTTGTACAACACGACAAGTGGTCCTGCGATCCCTCTCCAGCCAGTATTGCTAGATTCGACAGCCGCCGAGTATAAGCATACATGTAATCCAGCATCAACTATTTCCCCCATATCCGTCTCCGTCTCCAATCTACCTCCTCTTCTCCTCGACATCATCCTCTCACCCTCGTACCCCACGCACTCTCCTGCTGAGCTCACTGCAATACGGGCAGTCTCGGGATGGGTGCCGCCGAGGATGATGGAGGAGATGAGGAGGCAGATGATGGAGATGTGGGCAGATATGGGTGGAGATGCAGTCTCTGGGGGAGGTACTGGCATACTCTACACATGGGTCGAGTGGATACGGAACGGTGAATTTCTCACTTCGATTGGGTTAGCTGGTCAGGATGGACGCATAGGGTGCGTTAAGCGCACCAATGGTGGCTAATTCACGTTCAATTTCTTGCTGACGGCTATGGTCGTCCGTCTCTCCATTAGCATACCGCACCCGAGTCCTGCGCTTTTAGTACCCCTGCTACGTGCACATGCAACAGGGCAGCAGTACAAGACGTTCGCACAGATGTCTTACCCATGTGGGATATGTCTTACATCAAGAAAGGGTGTGTATTGCCTGCACCTAGGATGCGGTCATGTATTCTGCAAAGCATGCCTGGTAGACATGTGGGGTTTGCACATACGAGAAGGAGAGGTCGGTAGGGTCGGTTGTCCAGAAGTGGGCTGTGAGAGCGGCGGCGAGTTCCGCGAAGCAACAGAAGACGAAGTAAGGGCGGTACTGTCTGAGGAGGAAGTGAAGCGATGGCAATGGCTCAGAAGGAAGCGGGATTTGGAAAGAGGTATGTGCGATTGATTACCCATTGGAAATGAATGATAAGAGACAAGAATGTTAGATCCTACAACGGTCCACTGCCCGATGGAATACTGTCAGGAGCCCGTGCCGAGGGAAAAAACGGCGTCAACTACAGAGTACGACGAATCAGGGTGGGCACGACTTCGGGAGTGTCACTCATGTGGATACTCTTTCTGCTCTTTTTGTAAACGGACATGGTGCGTCTTTCCTACAGTCGCATCCTTCAACTTAGGCTACATTACAGTACATAATCTTTATCTTTTCAGGCATGGCCCGCACACACCATGTCCACTTCCCGTAACATCCAAGATCGTCCTTGCATATCTTGCGGCTTCGGAACATGGGCGAATTACCCTCGAGCGGCGCTACGGTCGAACAAGTGTGCAACGTCTGGTACGACAACACCGAGAGGAAGAAGAGAATCGCAAATGGTTGGAATCGAGCACGACAGAATGTCCCGGGTGTGCATTGCGCGTGGAGAAGAGTATGGGTTGCAATCACGTACGTTACTCGATTCAGTGTATGATCGTCCTACCACCATCTTTTCCACAGATGACCTGTTCAAAGTGCAAGACGCACTTCTGTTACCGCTGTGGACACAAGATATCAGCGACGAATCCGTATCAACATTTTTCGACACCTGGAACGAGTTGTTTTTCGAAATTATTCGATTTTGTGCCGAGTGGAGAGGATGATTGGCAGCCAATAGAGGCATTTGAGCTCATCTAGTCGTCTTATGAGGTTGTTCCTTAACCCTTAAATTTTGAAAGGCTTTCGACTTTTCAGCTGTGTGATTATTTGGCGCAAGTTTTTTTTCCAGAGAGGTGAATGTCCATATTTGTCTTCCGTAGGTTTGCTTCTGCACCCACTCTTGGCACACATACTTGCATAGCGGATTCTTCCGGAGAATGACGAGGCCATCACTAGGAACCCCAGAGGGCGCTATGTAGCCTCTTTTTCCAAAGTTGTGTGGTTGTTCTGACCCACAGACGCAAAGGCTGCTTCCATGATGGGAAGGTAACCAATGCACAAGGCAACGAGGTGGGTCGTACATCCTGTTGTGTATTTCTGTCATATTGACCGGTACAGAGTCGCAAATAAAACATACGTGATGGTGAACGTAATGTGGAGTGGTCCCGATACCAATGAAGGTGAAGTTCCTACCTCTTACTTATCCCTCAGCCCGCTAAACCTCCTCGTCAACAAGCCCGCTATATGGCCACCAAATGGCTGACGAGCTGCCGGTGAACGAGCAAGTTGAAATGAGATCGTGGCTATACTTCACGAGCTTCCTGATCCGAGATCCATTGGTCGAAGTCATTGCACACGATCACGCCACTTTCTGAGGAAGCCTGACTGACCATACCAAGTTGGTAATCTGGTTGATGGCCGCAACCGCACCTAGATATGATTCCTGTCCGCACTTCAGTATATATTTCCGCCCTTCCTGTGTTCTGCTCTGAAACTCGCCGTACCTTGCACCCCCGTAAACACACCACTACAGACGTGGAAAATCAACCAGAAGAATTCGACAAGACGGTTATTGCAAGAAATGCTCTGATGTATGTCCAGGTGGCAAAATTACCGCGTACACGAAGTCTGAGGTGGCGCAGGTCGTCGGGCATAATGACTTTGTTCGCTATGAAATCGAGAGGTGCTCTGAGTGCAGGAAGATAGCGGAAGCCATCGCGAAGAAACCCCAATGCAGATTGTTTCCTATATATTCCTTTCTTTCTTCCTAGATATCACCTGTGGCGCTACCTTAGTTGCTATTGTCTTTGCGGGACATGTACAAATAGTTGTGTTGGGTGAAATGGGCGCTATTCGCTAATATGTCCTTTGCTTCCTTTCTAACATTGTCCAATCCTTGGAAAAACGCGTATGGGTAGTATGTGGACTGTTACCAACTATTATCGCAGTCTAGCTTATATATCCACAGTTTAATTACATCTAGATCTAGACAAGGTCTCGTGCCAATATTCACACAACGGCGCCACTCTGAACATTGTCCACCTGTATGACTCGGATCTCGCAATGGCTGAAGACGATACAGTATCGACCTTTTCTTACGACGGTGAGGCGGACTCTGACACATTCAGCCTTTATCAGTTAGGGGTTGCGGTCAACTCCCACTTCGGCAAGGCTTGTAATCTTAAGAAGTTAGCGGAGGGCGGTTATCATAAGGTTGATACGAGACCCTCGCATGCGATGATCTGAACGTGTGCAGAGACTTTCTTCTTCACTATAGGTGTACGATGTTCATCAGGAAGATGGAACATCACTTGGTGTCGTCCGTGTCGCAGCGCCTGCCTTTCCGAAGGACAAGCTAGAGTCAGAGGTCAGTGGAACTTTATTCGCAAATTTTATCACAATTTTTTGGCTGACGTCTTGCGCATGAGTAGGTTGCGACTCTCAAACACCTTGCTTCACAAACTCAGATCCCCATTCCTCAGGTTTACGCGTGGAATTCGGATGCTTCCAACCCTGTCGGAGCGGAGTATATGATCATGCAAAAAGTCAGTCTGCTAAACTCGATATCTTCTGTTTTGTATAACCTCGGTGTTCAAGGTACCAGGTATTTCAGCTAACACAAAATGGGACACCCTCTCGATGAACGTGAAAGAGCGTGTGGTATCGCAAGTTGCAGAGTACCTGAAGGTCATGTTTGAGTTGCGCTTCGATCGCGCAGGAGCCCTCTATCTTTCTTCCCCCCCAGAAGATGATGTCTATGTCGGGCCAATCGTTAGTGTACCCTTCTATCGTGCAGCCGACGGTATCGTTCGTGTGCCTGAGGCTGAGCCTCCATTACACACCGAGCTTTCTCAATACCGAGGACCTTTTTCAAATACCTCTGACTATCTTCAAAGCTTCCTTCACGCTGAACTCCATGTTCTTTCCCACCATCGTTCTGTAGTTTTGTCCGGGCTGGAGGAACAGGAGGCAGATCAAGAGGTGGCTGCCAGTCGACTTGAACTTGGGGAACGTATTCTTCGCAAGGCTCTTGAACTGTGCTCCGTCTATCCGGGGAATAATCAGCCCGGTGGAGCGATAAGTACATCGATGAAACCATTTTCAATACACCTCGACGATTTCCGCTTGTCGAATATCATGGTAGGCGCGTTTGTATCTAACACATCTTTGCCTGGGAATGACCATAATTGCCTAACAGATCGACGAGAAATCCGGAGATGTGACGAGTCTCATTGATTTCGAAGGAGCAACTATCGCACCTCTCTGGGAGTGCGCCGTTATACCTGCATGGATACAGGATCCGGATGATCAAGAAGGTGGCTATGAAGGCGGCCCTGCGGAAGATAGGGAAAGATTGCGCGAGATCTTTTGCAAGGTCATGGATAGCAGGGAGTGGAGTGTATTATATGAGCAAGGAAAACTATTCCGACATTTTAGATTGTGGCTATCACTCCAAGTTTCTTGTTGGGCTTCGGAAGGTATGGAGGAATGGGTGGATAAGAGGTTTGCTTGGGCAAAGTTACATCCGGGAGTCGCTTTGCCGGAAGACGACTACTGATAAGGTACAAAATGGTTGCAGACAGGTTGAAAGTCTTGTTGAGCACAGAACTGTAGACTTAGTGACTCCAACTCAGCTACCATACGTTGTCTTATATAAGGACCACCCGTGGAGTCGACGTCAACTATGTGTCGAGGAAATGATCGGCAGGATTCAATCGGTAGGCCAGACGGAACAGTGAGCCGTGCGTGAGTTGAAGGAAGACGACTCCGAAGTTTGTTCCCTGGTAGCTGGGTAGTAACTCGCAGATCTTGGACACGAGGAAGACCTTATATTGACCGAGGAAGGGGGTAGAATTCCCCCAACTACGGCTCTACCAATGCCTCTTTCTCCACCGGTCCCTCTGCGCGTGAGCCTCATCCACCTCTCGCCGATTAAATACATCACCATAACCACCGTCCATTCCACCATGCACGGTACTCGGAGTTTCGTTGCCTGCCATTTCTTGTTTCTTTTTACGGATAAGGGCGAGCGCACGTTCCCGTTCTGATGATTCGCGCCGAAGACGTTCGCTCGTGGGATCTAGTGGTTTCGGTTGCGGTGGAGGAGGTGGGGGAGGGTCCGGATTACGTGGGAAGCGTTTGTTTCTTGAGCGATTGTTGGGAGGCAAGGAACGAGTGTCATTCGACGATGACGAGCGGGCTGCCAGTTGTTGAGTTATCGCAGTGAGGGGATCGTTTATTGTCTTAAAGGCCATATCCCGCATTCTGGTTTACAACAAAGCGTCAAAGTTATTCCAAAACTTTTAAAACAGACATTCTGACCTCTTCTCATCCTGATCGTTTTCGTTCTCTGCCTCGGTCCGTTTGCTGGCTCGTTTGTCAGCGTACCAAGGGTTCAGGTCCTTTGCGCTGGGCGCGAGAGGTACGCCTTTCTCGAGCTCAGACTGTGTCGTCTTCTTGTTGGCTCGTGCGGATATTATGAGTTCTTGCTAATCGGGCCATTAAATTTCAGCACTGTAACCCAAACGCTGGAGCGTACCTGTTCCAAATCCTCAAAGAGGTTGATGTGTTTCCCAGTTCCGATTCCAGTACCAGTAGCCGAAGTAAGGGCATTCGTTCCCCCGTCGACCGCCTTCCCTTTCCCCTTCTCGTCTGCCGCTCCTAGCCCTGCACGTTCTCGTAGAACGCCAAGTCTGGCTTCAGCATCCGCCACCGCCATCTTGCTCTCTTTCTCTGCCTCTTGTCTTGCTGCCTCCTCTTCATCTTTGCGTACACGCTCGATGTTGTCCCTCCGGTAAGGGTGATAAGATTTGTGGTGTGCAATGTTCAGCTTCCCCATGGCGGTCGGTGCTGCAGGTGGAGGTGGCTGTGCTAACTTGACACGACCAAACCACGGTGTAATGGATTACCTAAGCATGGATGACTTGCATCCCGGCTACGCGCATTTCATTGGCCACCTCTGCACGCTCGCGTCTGCGTGTCTGCCGCCGTTCATCTGCATTTCCGACCCAAACAATCCGCGCATCACCGCGTCTGTCGTGGATGCTGTATTCCGCGACGTCCCACAAGACTCACACTTTCCTCCAATACGCTATGCTCGCGTTAACGCAGTCGCCTGCTTTCATGCACGCGTTTTCTACGATACCATCCTCAACGCTCTCGCTGGGTGGGAGCCCTCATGGGAAAGTGGATGTCAGACGTGGCCGGGAGAGGACGGCGTGAAATATAACGATAGCATCGACAGTTTTCTTCACGGTCTCAGAAGACTCTCTGCGGAACATGGAACCAACTTGCCGATTAGGAACAAGGGCAAAGGCAAGACATCTCCCACTGAAGAACCCTCCATGGTCATCTTTATCGAACGTGCCGAAAGATTGTGTGAGAATCTACCCGAACTCATCGTTCCCCTCTCGCGTTTGGCTGAATTGGTCAGTCACAATCCTCCTCCCACACTTGGCATTTCGACGTTGCCATATCTCACCCTTACCTGATGGCGCCGTTAATTAACCTGTTTTTTGCAGGCGCGTGTCAGGGTTAATGTCATCTTGTTGTCATCTATGTGTTGGGAGGATCTCCGGCCACCACTTGGGGCTGCACCGGACCCCTACTTTCTGGATGTCGAGCCATTAACGAAACAAGGTATGAATGTTGAGGAAGTCCGGAGTGCTCAAGTTCAAAAACAGTTTTCTAGACATTATTCAACGACTTGTATCTGCATTCCGGGAAACATCCGAGGTCCTCGCGTCGTCTGGGGAGCCAAGCATGACCTACCATCCAGGCTTGTTATCGTTCTACGAGCACTACGCGGAAATGATATATGGGACCGTCTCTCTCTACACGAACGATCCCATCGAACTTCAATACATCGCTGCAGCACGTTGGCCTGGTTTCGTCAAACCAGTAGTCTGGCAACAAGACGGCGATCACTCAAACGGGGACCACGAACTTGACATCCAGCTGCCAAACACGGACGGTCGTTTGCGGTTGTTCAAATACTTCTCATCGTCGTTTACTCGTGCATTGGAGGCGCTCTATCCGCGTCTGACAAATGCTGCAGACTGGGCCTCGGAGAACGACTACGATCCCACGGACGGTCTGCCTGAGGTACAACCTGGAAACGAGAGGCAGAAAGCAAGGACATCGAATCCCAGGACAGCAAATTTGCCTCGGATATCCAAGTTCATTCTCGTTGCAGCGTTCTTGGCATCGACTAATCCGGCGAAGAGCGACATGAGAATGTTCGGCAGATGCGCGTCAGAGCGGAAGAAAAGACGACGTAAGAATACGTCGTCAACAAAGGGAGGTTCAAACAAAAATTCCGCTGTAGGTCCGACCCACCGTTCCTGGCTTCAGCGGACATTAACGTAAGGATTGGTAGGTTTCCCAAAGACTACTGGGCCCTTCTGCGTTCCCACTGGACCGGTTACTAGCAATCCTTGGGTCCCTGCTAGAGGAACATGACCTTGACTCGTGGCCATTCGACCATCGATTCGTGCTGCCAGGGGAATACACGGATATGGAGATTGGTCGAATACATGTCTACGCTGCTGCAAGTGACAATCCTGCATGTACCCTGTAAACATGCTAACGATGTTCTAGGTCACGGAGCTCGCGTTCATGCGGGCCCTGCACCGGATGAGTCCGATGGAGAAGTTGGATGGGCCACCTATGTTCAAGTGTGGAATATCATACGAGGTAGCATTGGCGCTTGCCAAAGACGTTGGGATACCGTCGCTGAATGATTTAATGTGGGATCCCGCATAGAGTTGGTGGATATACTGCTAGTCAGGGGGCGTTCCGTTCTAACGACGCTATTAAATACCTGTTCTTAGACTTTGTTGGGATGCCAGCATGTGTCAGGGTTGAGACCACTGCCCAATATTATACATTTTTTATAGACCTGTACATGTTCGGCATCTTGTCAGACCCAGCCTTCAGGTCCCAAGCTTATGCGATGGTCAGGCACCAAAACTTTCTCACTTGCTGCCATTTCCTTGGACCAAGTAATATAGGCGTCTGCGGCCCAGTGCCCAACCCATAACCCTCCTCAAGACACCCTTAATGCCCGACGAGTACGAATACGGGAACGCGCAAGAATACCCGCTACAGAGGTTGGATGCAGAGGGAAAGCTCTCGCTCGGCCCCTCAGATGACGAGGAGAAGGAGTTGCAGCAGCGCAGACGACCGCTGAGCCCAGGTAGGCACCCCACATGACGTCTTTAGTATCGCACATGCTTGATACTTTGCAGATTCACATCTTACCGTAAGTCATACGGAGTAGTACACTCGACTGAACGTGTGCCCATGACGTGTTTTTCAGTCACGCTATTCATCCGACTTCGACGACCCCAACCTCGACATCGACGACCCAGACGAGCTCGATGACGACTCGCCGTATCCTGAGGTCCGCGCTGCGGTAGCTAACACTGACGACCCATCTATACCCGCCGTGACACTACGAACTTGGGTACTCGGCTTGGCATGGGCGGTCATCACGTCCGGCCTGAACCAGTTCATGTTTTACCGATACCCTTCCGTCGCTATCAGCTCTTTCGTTCCACAACTGTTGTCCTTCCCGATGGGAAAACTATGGGCCCGATATATGCCACGAATACGAATATTCGGTGTATCACTAAATCCTGGTCCCTTCTCCATGAAGGAACATGTGCTAATAACCGTCAGCTCTCTCTCTCTCTCTTCCTCTCTTTCCGCTTGGTGCATGTCCTAAACTCCAGTTATGCTTCACCACACAGATAATGGCTTCCGTTGGAGCACAGTCAGCTTACGCGGTAAGTCTTCCCTATGCGATAACGAACCATGCTTACATGCACCGCCCTAGACCGACATCATTGCTGTACAACGTGTATACTATAATCAAATCTACAGTTTCAGCTGTTCGATCCCGCTTATTCAAACTGTGTGTTCCCTTCGCTGATTAGGTTTCTCCCTCCATAACAGATCAATGGTTTCTGGTAGTGTCTACCCAACTGATAGGGTTCTCTGCCGGCGGTATCGCTCGTCGATTTCTCGTGTCGCCGCCCAGCATGATATGGCCGTCGTCTCTCGTCACATGCGCACTGTTCAACACGCTTCATTCACAACAATACGCCGGCGCGGGACAACTCGGCGGCCTAAGTCGAGGGCGTTTCTTCCTGCACGCGTTTCTAGTCGCGTTCGTATGGTGTGAGTTCCTGCTGGGAATCGTATTGTTCGGGTATTAAGTATGTTCCATCCTAAATGCTCGTCGCTTTTAGACTTCTTCCCAGGATACTTGTGTAAGGCGAACTACTCTGGACCTTGGCGTCGAGTCTGACGTTGGGTCAAACTAGTCCAAGCACTGTCGTATTTTTCATGGGTGACTTGGATATGGCCAGATAATGCAGGTATGTAACTATTATCCGTTCCATTTCTAGTCGTGATACCATGCATCTTGGTAGTGATTGCTCAACTGTTCGGGTAAGTCCCCTCGAAGAATTCCAACCTCTGTCTGATCTCACGGGCGATAAGCTATGTGCATGGTATGGTACGTGACGCCTATTGTCCAAGCTACGCGGTTCCGGCTCCTGACGCTAGAACAAGGGAATGTCTATTATTACCTTCGACTGGGCCCAGATCGCGTGCGTGTTTATCTGGTTCCTCTGCCGCCTCTACCCATCAGAATCTTCGATAGGTACATTGGGTCACCTCTGGCCACACCATGTATGCTCTTTTTCACGCAAGTATTTACTGCTTGATGAACTCACTGATTTGGTCAGGGTGGGCAGCAGCAAATGTTTTGATGGGTTTTGTTATCTTCTACTGTGCGTGGGGCATTCATTCCCCTGAATATCTTACCCTCTTACCCACGCTGTGGTAGGGATCGCGACCCCCATACTATACGTTCGTACTTATCCACAGCTGTTAAGTCGGACGTTCAAGCTCACGCTGTCTACTAGTTCACGAACACGTGGGATTCACTTTACATGCCGTGAGTAATGAATCTCTATTTGCTTCTCTGTTCCCGGCGTTGCTGACTGGACTGGTAGAATACAGTCGCGACTGGTATATGATAACTTGGCACAGCCGTACAATGTTACCCGAGTATTGACGAACCAGATCATCTTCGACGAGGCAGCTTACGATGCATACAGCCCGCTTTTCATGTCGTACGCGTTTATAGCTTTTCAACTCTTCCCTCGGTGCTAAAGCGACTGAAGGACCTGTTTTGCCATGTCCTATGGGTACGTATGTACGAGCAACATGAGGTGATCGACCCGCTAATTGTCTATCAGCTTAGCCTTTGCAACAATCACGGGTGTGTAATGAAATCCTTCTTCTGGAAATGCTAAAATTGACTTTGACTAGCAACATTGACCCACACATTCTTGTATTTTCGGAAACAAATCATGATGCAAGCTCGGCGATCACTGGCGGAACAACCCGATATCCACGCTCGTCTTATGAGTCTGTACCCGCAAGGTAGGGAATATTGACGACACTGCACACCCCCGTATTTGAAATGTATTTGACCCTAATCATCGGCATGTTTCACCCCCTTCCTCCCTCCCCCAAGTTCCGGATTGGTGGTATCTTATCTTGTTCGTGGTGATGTTTGCCTTGGGAGTTATCAGCTTCGAGGTGTGGCCGACGCATTTACCTGTGTGGGCGTTCGTGGTAGCGCTGCTCATCGGTAAGTATGCCAAACAGGTTTTATATTTGTTCGTGTCTCTCATTCAGGTGCTCCACCGCAGCGTTTACCTATGTCATACCTTGCGGGATGATACAGGCGATAACGAACCAGCAAGTCGGCCTTAAGTGGGTAGTTCATTTGAGTTCTTTGCCAGGGCACTTATCACTCCTCAGTGTTATTACGGAGCTAATCGTAGGGTAAAGCAGTGATGATAATCTCCTAACAGGGCAAGCCACTCATTCATGATTCCAGATACGCACTACCAGGTCGACCAATCGCAATGATGATGTTCAAGACGTGGGGATATATCGTATGTAGTAGGCTCTCGAAGCGATCATCTCCTTGCTGATCAGACACCGTTCGGCACGCAGACGATGACACAAGCGCTGACTTTTGCATCTGACTTCAAGCTCGGCCACTATATGAAAATTCCTCCGCGTAAAATGTTCTGGTGTCAGGTAAGTCGTCTAACCCGAGATTGTACTTTTTGGTGGGGTGTTTCATGTTTGGGTATAGGTAGTAGCTGCTATGGTCGCTGCAACCACACAATTAGGCGTTCAATCATGGATGTTTAGCAATATACCGTAAGTACGGTTCTACCAGACGTACCTATACCCACGGATGCGCTGGTATTAACGCATCCCATGTCAAGCGACATGTGTTCGGTAACCCAAAAGGACGGGTAAGAGAGAAGAATCACTGTTGAATAATACGTACCTCTCAGCTGCACTCTAGGTTCACTTGTCCGTACACTCAAGTATTCGGAACGGCTTCTATCATATGGGGTTCGTGCACACGAGTATAAATGTGGATCCTATATCGCATGCTTAACTGCTCTTGGTCACAGGTGTCGTGGGTCCCGCACTTCAGTTTTCCAGCGGACGTCGCTATCAGTGCGTAAAAATTGTCGAGACTTTGTTGTTAGTGGTAACGCTGATTTGCCTTCCCAGTTGTAACTTGTTTCTCCCATACAATGCGATGGGCTGACTGCTTTCCAGCCCTACTCTATTTCTTCGTCATCGGTGCTATCGCACCCGCTATACCTTTGCTCTTGATGAAAAAGTGGCCAAATAGTTTCCTACGATACGTTAAGTGCGTATTTGGATCCTTCACCAACAGCAACAGCCGGACTGACGCCCTGCCAGTTTGTAAGATCTCTGGCAATAATAATCCCGGTCGATAGGTCCCCCCGAACTAACAACCAATTCAATAGCCCAGTATTTTTCAACGGAACGTCCCTTATACCCCCAGCGACCGCGCTTAATTTCGTACCTTGGGCGTAAGTGACCAGTTGTTTCTTGGTATTCATGCACGCCAACCGCTGGGTGTAGGTTGGTCAGCTACATATTCCAAAATGTCATTCGAAGGTGGGGGTTACAGTGCCTTTTGACATTGGCGTCCACGTAGCTTACCGTGTATCAGACATAATTTCCCTTGGTGGGCCAAGTACAACTGTGAGCTTTCCTCTATTCTTTCTGTCCCGTTACACCGAACTAAATGTATCACAGACGTGCTATCAGCCGCTCTCGATTCGGGTCTAGCTGTGTCAGTACTGGTGATATTTTTCACGTACGTGGTTCCATCCACCTCCCTCGTTTACCTTTGCTACATGTTCTACTTCTGGGCACACTTTTACAGACTACAACACCCCATGAACGGAACAGTGAGTTGTCTCTTTCTGGCCCGCATCTTGAACGATCACTTGATAGACCTACATATTTCACAGATCGGAGTGAGTCTGCAGCAATGGTGGGGGAACACGGTAAGTCTACGTGTCTTCATTCTCCTACTAGGAGTGTGAGTATACTGACAGGGTCGTTTGCGATAGGTGTTCAGGCACAGCGCCGACGGTCGAGGAATACCCGTTCGACAGCTCGCTACTGGACAAACATTTGGTTGAGTTCCAGACCCTTCTTTTATGTTTTTCTTCTTTTTTTGGCTTTCGGGATCATTAGATTTTAGTGTCATTTAACGGGGTGTGCAACATGTATCATACATACACGCTATTTCAACAGCATATGTTGTACGAGGCTCTCATCATTCATCGTGTCTTTGCAGATGACCCGCACCTGGGTATGTATCCAAGGCAGAAGATGTGATGCAGCTAGCTGCAGTAAACTACACATGTTGGCAGTACATATTATTCTTCTCATAGTTAGTACATATGACCTATGTATCTCCTTCGTTAAACCCGTGATTTGATGCAGTGTACAGCTGTCCGTGTATGAATGAAGGATCGACGTGAAGATCAACCGCTGTGCACAATAGCGTCAAGTCTTGGTAACCATGATCAAGGAACAAGTGGCGCACACGCTTATGTATTTGTTCCACGAATCCTATGTTCTGGAAGCATCAAGGTGACCAAGCATCACTCGCTGCAAGCTCCCCAGCGAAGGGTTACGGAGGGCCTGGAATGGTTACTCTTCGCGTTTACGTCTTCTGTTTCTTTTTCACCGCAAGCCTACAATCGCCGTATAATTTCCCCGCTGGATAATTATCCTCCTATATCTCCACCTATATCTCCTTGGTGGGAACACCAGCAATAACGTGCAGGAGCATCGAACGACCAAAACCGGTTATGAGAACGTAAAGCCGCCGCCGCGTCACCGGGCATTGACCATCAAGTCAGTGAGCTGGACGGATCCAACATCCCCGGCAAAGGTGACTTCGTGGTTCACGAGACAGACCTTAGCAGGATAGGTCGAGCTAGTCATCCTCGCTGTCCCTCGCGAACTCGGGCCCGTCCGCGTCCTCGGCGTCATCGATAGGCTTCAAGTTGTACGCGCTCTAGTACGCCGGACAAAAGCAAGATTCCAATTACACATATCTGGTCTCATTCATGCGTACCTCGGCATCCTGTCCCGGGAGAACCACAAAACTCGACGACACGCGAGAGTAGCCCGACATTTGCGATGACGCAAGGCGAGCCTAGTCGACCGGACTGTGCTCGAAGGGGTACCAGCGGTAGAAAGGAAATCACAGGGAGCAACATCTGAACTCATCTGCATATGTATACATGAGAGATCTCCAACTTGTTGTCAAGGACATCGCTCCTAAGCTCTCTCCGTTCATAAATTCGAACTCCACACTGCATGAAACCGTGCTCACTCCGACGATGCCTAGAACGCATCCACCATGCCTACCCTCGAGGCGGGGAGACCCTCGTACTACGTGCTCCGAACCTCTGCGAAGCATGTGCATGGACAGAAGCAATCGTAAAGGCTACCGCGAAGGCGAGGAAGGGGATGTCAGTGATTCGCGTGGTGCGGAAGGATGGTTCAGTCCTGCACATTGTTGGTGTGGGGATGGGACGTGTTGCGGGCGCGGGAACGCCTTGTGGAAGTGCGGATGATTGGCAAAGGAAATATTTTGGGATATACGGGGGTGGATCAAGGTATTATCTCGTGTCGGAGCCTGTAAATTAGATAGACTTACTAGTCCAGTAGTGGAGTAAACGATAGTGCCAGGACTGGCTACCAGGGACAGTTCCATGCTGACCCATTTTATATTCCGGGCTTCTAGTGTTGCGGTGTATTGGTTTGAAGTATGTACATCCATCGCCGTACGCTGGTCTAATTGGTATCTTTGCCGACGTAATGGCTAACGCTCTGCTTCTTTGGAGTAGACCCTTGCACGAAGTATAAGGTACAAGCCAAGTGCGTATCGCATCCGCCCGGACACGTTTACCACGGCACGGTATATCGCATCTACGTGTGACCACGAGTGCTTTTAGCGTCCACACCTTCATTGATCAACAACTGAACAACGTCCCGTCGCTCGCGAATGAGTCGGATGAGTGTGTCTATACCGAGCAGCACGCCCGTGTCAGGTCCTTGTCCAGGCACGAGTCGTGTGTGCGCAAAGTCAATTAGGGAGAGTCTGAACAGGCGCGGGTCATCCTCTTCATCCTCGTCATCACAGTCTTGGTCGTCGTCGTCGTCGTTTTCTTCGAAAGACTCAACGACAGGACTCGTTGCGATAACGTCGTCCAGTATGAGGTGACCGCTTTCGTCAACTTCGACCGTGATCGTCTCCTCTTCGGCTTCATCTTCTTCGTCCAAGGACCCCTCCTCCTCGTTCTCACTCAAGCCTTCGCCCGCAACGGTAGGCTTTCTGTTCAGATCAAAACCGCCTTCTAGTGTCCGCACAGCCTTTTCTGCACATGCCCAGTCGCCTTCATATATGATAAGGATGCTTCCGCCTACGATGCGTACTTCCGCTTCGGCAAGTGCTGCGCGGAGATGTTCAAGTGCCTCGAGGAGGCGTGTGAGCAGAACGAACAGGGACGGTGGAGGTAGGCCTGGTTGGATGTTACCAGGCGTGGTTATGTCATCGCTTGACGATGGGAAAGAGGGAGGCGCGGTGGTGGAAGAAGCTGGGCCGCGAAAGGGAAAAAACCGCGCGATCCCGTCTGGTAGATGTTCTGGCTTGATCGTTTTCCCGTATTTCTTGGGTGTAAGTACGGGATCAGGGTGATCGTTTGCATATACCTATACAAGTTCCTGAATACAAACACAGACATCAACAGGGAGTTATACCTGGAAGCCCGTAAGACGTACGCCAGTACTGAGACTGGTCGTGTTCGCAGCGGTACGAATCATACGCTCCTTCTTTTCGGGAGGAGCATCTTCATCGTAGAGTATGGTCCCCAACTTGACGTCGAGAATGCATGGTTTGTGGAACCCATATGTGAGATTCTCCAGGACGATCGTAGTCGTTGTTCCGTTGGCTGGCGGGACAGCGGGCAGACCATGCGTCGCCATCGTTTCCGGTGAGACGTCTACAAGGTGGTTTCCGATCGATAGCACTCCTAGGAATTTTGGAATCCATGGCAATAGCGGTTTCAATCCTGATGCAGCCGCGGTCGCGCCGCCGATGTCTGACGATATGCCATCACGAACGAGCTGGTAGAATGCCAGTTCTCTAGAGAGGGCCGGTTTAAGGAGTAACGAGCCATCCTCTGTTGTTTGTACTCCTGCGTGTCCACCGACCTGTGAGGAGAGCGGCGCTGTGGGTGGAAGGGTGTGGGATCGATGGATAGTATTATGTGCATGTGGCGACGAGGTTGATCCCGTGTCTGTTGACATTGTCAGTGGAAGAGACAGAAATCAGACAGCAAGCCAAGAAATCAGATAATCAATGTTGTCGAATTCGATCCTCGTGGCTGTCTGGTTGATAGCTGGGCTGACGTTGAACACTCTGACTCAAGTGCTTGCAGTCACAGCGAAACGAAGTTCTTGCCTTCGAAGAGCTACAGTCCACTAAAGTATTCTACACTCCAGCGTCAAATTGGTGCACTGCCAAAGCAGTGGCCAACCCGACGCTCTTCAAGTGTGGAAGCTGTCACTGATATGTGAGATACACGAGCCGAGTACTCCCACCAAATTTCTTGTCACAAGTATTCGACAGTGAGACTGCGAGCATCCGGCCCTTGCTCCAGCAACGTACCGCACGTAACTTCAACGCCCGAGTCTGATTTACATCCCCAAACTCGAATCTCACCTACAAACCTCGCACGAAATACGGATCTGTCGGTGGCCCGCAAGCAGTCGAAGAAACACCGTTTCTTTAGCTCCGAAAGGCATGGCTCGACGCCTAACTTCCCTCGGCACGCATTTTATACCTTACACACGATGGAATGGATGGATCTCCACGGAGACAGCCCTTCACCCCTCTGTTTCGATCGCCGGAACGTCGGCTAACAGGAGGTAGGACCCATACGGATGCACAGATTATTCTACTGCTTGCCTCGAGCTCAGCTCATTGTGTGAGGCCTTCGTAGCTAGGTGAACGAACAGAGTGAATAGATGAATATATGAGCCAAGTGAATGAGAAAGTGAATATAACAAAGTGACTGGAGAAGCGTAGATCGCAAAAGAGCATGCAATCTAGTGTGTGGGGGGAAGGCCGCCGGACGCTGGGCTCCGGAATCGAGCGAGCGTTCCGAGATGCCGAGATGCCGAGACAGCGCACGCACAAAGGGGAGTCGCGTGACTATGAAGCTGAGAGATTGAGGGGAGAAGGGGTCACGTGACTCAGTCGAAAGAGGGATCAAAAATGAGAGAGTGCGCGGAAACAAGCGGTGCAGCCTTCTGAGCGTGCAAAAGCGGGCGAGTGGAAGAGAGGAGAAGAGGCCACAGGACCGACCATCAGAGAGCTAAGCTCACAACAGAAGTGGCCTCAAGACACCCCACACACTGGAGCTAAGACTGGAGGCAAACAGAATAAGATTCTGGGAGAACACATGTGGCATAAAAGTACTAAGACTAAGAACAGGAGGTGACTGTACAGAGGTTGATATGACGAGCAGAATTGGTGGACAAAGAAATAAATAAGGGAAGGATGCTATTGATTTAATGCCAGTAATCTAAAAAGGCCTGCAATTTCCATCTTCCTTGAGTAGTGACCACATCAGGAGGAACTCCCTGAAGTAAGAGTTCTGTAGCTCTCCCAATGCGAAAAGCATGGCCAGGCATGTCAGGGAAGCTGGCAGAGACCCAGATCTGATTGCAGCAATTGAGGAACCAGGGGTGGGTCATGGGAGACCAACTGGAAGATGTATGAAATGCAAAGAGGGGGGCATTGGATGGAATGCCAAGACTGCCTGTGCAATGGTTCAATAAAGCTAAAAGGGGACAAGTGCAGTGATTGTGAGAAGTGACAGAAATGTCAGTGCTAAGAGAGAGAGAGGTCTTAGACCAGGGAATATGGAAGGTAGAGTGGTGTGTACCATTGTCTAAAGAAGAAATGGAAAGAGGGAGAATTTGCCAAGAGACATGTTTAGATGGGTCAAAAACATTCTGGGAGGAGATGAGAAGTTTGCCAAGGTGACAGCAAGACCAGAACACTACCAAGGCAAGAGCCCAGACAGCCACATCAAAGGTGTTGGCCAAATCCAAATGATCATGAAGAATGCAGAGAGCTTCAATGGTAACAGGGGGGTATTGGTCATGTTTGGAAGATGGGGGGACAAGTTTAGTGAAGCCCCTGCGAACATGGTGAAGCATGTCATCTCTGTACCAGGGGGTGCCATTAACAATATGCCAAAAATGGAGGCTGGCAAGCCAGTTATTAAGAGTCTTTTCTGAGGCATGCCCGGCATGATGTGCAGAGAAGAGGGAAATGAGCTTGGGTGAGGCTGGCATGTGGGATTCCTTGGGGAGAGTGAGTAAGTCACAAAATTGAGTAAAATGGAGAAGACCTGCTCTGTAGTTGGAGCAGGTGCTATGGTCTAAGGATTGGAGCATGACTTGGAAGAGGCAAAAGACAGACTGCTGGGGAAAGAGACTCGAGAGAGGAGAGGAAATCAGCGCCATGGGGAGAAGACCAGCAAATGAGATGATCACTGGCAACAATGTGGGGATTCCAAGGGGAAGGCTGAATGGAGGCACCTGGGTGAGGTCATCAGGGGATTTTAGAATGGTTGGTGCTTAAAGAGGAAGCAACCATGCAATGAGAGAGTGAGTTGGCATTAGTGTAAAAGGCAGCAGCGGTGGCCTTGATATTGACATCAGAAAGAAACTCTTCAAGAGGAGAGGGGAGGACCATGTCGAAAGAAAGGGGCAATGGAGCGGTGGAGAGAGGGAGGGTCAGGGAGATGACTAGAAATAGAGGGAAAGACACTGCAGGAAATCGGATCCACCAAGTTATTGGCAGATGGGACATAAGAGAAGAGGAAGTGAAGGTGTGCCTCATGGGACAAAAGGGCTGAGTGATGGATGGTCAGGTTAGTCATATAATTGTGGCAATGACCTTTCTCGAAGGCTGTGATTGCCCCTTGATTGTTGCTGTGAATCAGAATGTCTGAGTGAGAGAAACTGCAGCTGACTACCAGCTGAATAGTGATCTTGATGGCAACAGCCTCGAGCCAGCTAATGTCCTGATGAGAGTCTTGCCAATTCGAAGCCAAGGGCCAAGCTGCCCATGCATTGTCGAAGACAATACCAATTCCAAAATCTGTAGATGCATTCGACCCAGATCTGCAGATCTAATGGAGAAGGATGAGAAGAAATGGAGTGTGGGGGGTGAGGCAAGCTGAGAAGGCTAAGCCACCAGGAGAGGTCAGGAGATGACTGAAGGACAGATGAAGCAGGGCTTAAATTTGTCAGGGGAATTCAGAAATCCAGTGGTACAAGGGGGAGATGAAAGATCAGGTGTGAGGGAATACAAAAGAGATGTGATTTAGTGTTCCTGCTATTTTCTCTGTGTCACACTTGAAAATGCAAGAGTTGCAAGTGGAAAGGAAGGCAGAGAGGCAGGAGACATATTTAAGATGCTTCAACTCCAGAAGGGTGACTGACTTATGAGGAATGTTCCAGAGAAATCTGAGATACTCAACCATATCGCCAAAGGGTTGGCCTTTTTCTTTATGCCAAGGAACACCCAAAGGAGCAATGATGGACTTGGCATGTTCAAGGTTGTAATCATAATGATAAACTTCACTGTCGCAGATGCCTAGATATGGGCTGAAGGGGGAAGGAGAATGAAAAAGGTTAAAGTTGTCAACCCATTTGAGAGAAGGGCCCATGCCATGAGCATCCCAGATATCAATGACAGCATCTGCAACTTCACCTTGGAGGCCAGAAGTGGAGGATAGTCCAAAAGGAAGGACATGATCTAAAAAGAATTGATCTTTGAACATGACAACTAGAAAGTGTTTATGATTGGGGAGTATAGGGATACCACAGTAAGTGGCTTGGGTGCCAGGAGGGGCATGAGTGATCTGAAGAGAAAGGATGAGAAAGATGACTCATGAATAAGAGAAAAAGGTGGGAAAGTGGGGGCAAATGACAGATATGTCATTAGAGGCAGCCCAGAAAGAAGAGTGTCAGAGAAGGAATGTGCCTTCAAGCCATCAAGAAAAACCCTAGATGGGTAAGTCCATCAGGTGAAGAGCATCCATGCTGAAGAGCTCTGAAGAAAGATGAGGGAGAAAAGAAGAATTGAACTAACCACAGAGGTGGTAAGTTTGGCTGAACCCCATCTAGTGGGGAACTCATCAGAATCAATGTGATCATTAACCAAACATTCCAAAGTGCCTTTGTGGGAGAGATTACAACAGACATGAATCTTGGGAGGAGAACCCTCAATATCAAGTTTGACAATGATCTGAAAGGGTGAAGATCTGAAGGGACCAATTTTATGGAAAAGTTCTGCAGATGAGAAGGGGCTGGAGAAATGGCTGAGAGAAAGTTCCTTGTTGATGTAGCTGCATATACCATCATGAAACTTGGAGATGTTGAGATGGTTGGATGGAGTGTAAGAGCACATAGGGGGGGGCAGATCACTGATGGGGAAACCATGAGTGAGTTTGAAAGGCAAGTCCAGATATTGATCATATAATTTACATGCATGGAGAAAGGAGTTGAATGCGAGTGCAGAATAAGACATGATGATGTGAGAAAAGTCCAGGTCCAAGTCATAGCAAGAAGAAAGAATATGTGAGCAGCCTGAGAAAACATGACAAGGGGGAAAGATGTTGGTAGGTCAGAGGAAGGGTCTGGAAGGTGGGGAATCAGGCAGACTTGTGATTGGAGGCACCATGGTCTTGGGAACCACAGGCAGCACAGAGGTGTTGGTTGGGATGGTTGTCATGACAGGGCTTTTTGGCAAGCTGGAAGAAGAAGCAAAGTGGGGAGTTGTTGTTGTGACAGACAAGCTTTCCATCCCAGGATTTTGCAACCTGTCTGTTGGCCTTTCTGCATAGTCTCTTCATTGCAGGATGAATACTTGTGGCCTGATCTGAGACAAATGACACAGGTGGGAGAGTTGTGCTGACCATTCTGAAAGGAATCATCAGGCAAGTCATTGTGAACTTTGTGATCATAAGGTGAAAAACAGGTGCCCACAAGAGGACTTGTCTGCAGAGACAGTGGAAGAGGGAGGAGCTTGAAGAACACTGACCTGTGTGTGAAGATATTTATTCTTGTATTCCTCTGTGGTGAGGAAGAAGTCAGGGTCAGATGCTGCAGCAGAGCATACATCCATGTTCAAACTGTAGGATGGCAGGGAAATGCTTAGTGAAATTTATGAATTCACACAAGAAAGCAGAAGTGGCAGGACCACATGCATTTTGCAATAAGACCTTCTCACATACTGGATCCAATCAATATAACACTCCCAGGCTGAATGCCAGTCCAAAGGGAGCTATTTCTTCTTCAGGAGGAAATTAAGTAATGTCCAGAATATGAATGTTCTGACCATTCTGGTGAACCTTGACTGTTTTGACAGGCAAGAGGTTGATTTTGTAATTTGTGTAGAGCATTCATAAGAAAAAAGAGTTAATAGAACTTAGAAGCCAGCATCAGCAAGATTGTTGATGAGCTTGGAGATAGGACGATACATGCCATCCAGAGAAAAGATGGGAGCATTGTCTGAAAGGTCAAAAGGAAGAGCATGTTGAACCTTGGACCAGTGGGTTGAGGTTGGGGAGTTGTGATGGTTCTTGAGCAAGGAGTCCAGCACAAGCTGGTCTGAGGGGGGTAGCAGCATATATGCAGCCAAAATCTGCTGGGAGGGGTTACTGGGGTTGCCAGCAGGCATAACCACTGAGGAAGGTGGGGGCTGAGTGGTATTAGCAGTCACAGCAGTAGAAGAGGAGACTGAAATGGTAGGGTTGGCAGGGGTAGGAGGAATTGGTATAGTTGCAGCTGCTGGAGCAGTTGTGGGAGCAGCAGGGGCAGACTGTATGCCAAGACTGACTGGGACTGCAGGGGTGAAGGAAACACCAGCAGGGGGGGCAGACATGGTGTAGAGCAAAGAACTGAAGTGTATATGTGCGAGAATGATGAGTGCTAGGACAAGAGATGATGGAGGTGGAAGAGAGAGAGGCAAGAGACAGGGGGAAGTAATCTAAGTCTGAGCACATCTTAGATTACATAATGTTCACGTGATCACTACGAAGGCCCTGTTGACTGCATCCAAGATCGCAGGCTCACTGGTTAGCAGTAAACATCCACCCTTTAAGAAGTAATTTGGGAGGGAAGATAAAGATGGGATGCTAAAACTTACCTAAGAACACGTGACTGCAATGAACATGACTATCTATTCTTATCTCCAATGGCAGTCCGCTGCTGTGCATTCAGTCGACCAGTCTTTGCTCTGTAAAATCCTATTGGAGTCCACCGACCATGACAACCACCACCACCACCTTGTTTGCAATTTTTCACTGCATCCTTTCCATAGTGGGCTCTCTCATTTGTCTGAGATGTGACATATTTAATGTTATACATACGCTCCCACATCTGGCCTTTGTTTTGCATCGACTGCTGTTGGTAGCCAGGCGCATGCATTGCTAGCTAGGAGCTAACACTGTGGGAAGTAAACACACTGAATATCAGTGCCAGTGGTACTGATTTGAGCAAAATCAGTACCACTGGCACTGATCTAGTGGGCACTTCTTTTCAGTGTCGTCTTCATGGGACTGATTTTCAGTGTGCATTTTTTGGAGCACTAAATTTCAGTTGCTGGCACTGATTCCCGGTACCACATATTTTGCAACACTGAAAACCAGTGCCCCAAGTTTGTTGGCACTGATTTTCAGTACCACATTTAGGCACTGACTTTCAGTATTCGAAGTTTACCAGCACTGATATTTAATACACGACATTGTCACCTTGTTTACTCACACCAAGTTGTCAAACCAATAAAGTGAGATTGCATGCAGATGCGGTATTACATTACTTTGGAAGTATCAAGTGTATAAATGACAGACAAATGCACGAAATCACAGTGGCACTGCAGCGCAAATGGTGTATTTGAGCCACCCAGATGTAGGGTCACCATGGAGCACTTTGTATTCAACTGGTAGAGGCTGAGTATGCACTTCAAAGGCACACTTGCGGCATGTGGACACTCGAGTCTTCAGGTGATAACCACTTGGTGGATGAGGGTCCAGCTTTGATCATGCCCATGGATGGATGGCACCACATTTCAGGCACCCCATGGATAGAGATGTGCCCCATGGGCACCGATGGCTGTGGTACCATGAGTACCTGTATATGGTGAGGAGAGGGGTGGCAGTGAGTGGGGCAGGGCTAAGTAACCATGGCGCCCTTGGCAATCCTAGGCCTGAAAGATGAAAGAGCATCACATCAGTGTGCATCCTGAAGTTTGAGTGAGATGTTGAAGTAGGTCATGGATAACATTCTCCAGAGCATGTCCTTCAATCAAGACTTCAACACCATATGACACAATGAAAATTTTGATGACCGCATTGAGGAAATCCTTGGCAGTGAATGCGACCATATACTCTGGCCGGAGTCTTGGCAACAGTTAGTAAGGTTCTTTATAGATCAATCATTAATAACTGACTGCACGATAGATTGCTTCAATGCCACTAATGATTGTTCAAAGGAAACCACATGGGCCACAAGTCAACATAAACAGTGTAGAACCATGTAGACCATGTTTTTCAGGGGAGAAGTGAACAGGCATTTCATGAACTGAGACTGGATGAGAGAGAGTAACCTCCTCATGTCAGTCACATACCTCGCCAACCTCCATTGCAACATCCTCACCACTCTCGCCCTTCCATGCAAACAGGTCACCTGTGGGTGACTTCACTATGAACAGTAACAAATATGATCTTGTGCTTGAAGGCGTATGCACCCAACTTTTCACCCAGTTTTTTGATCCTCATACTCCACTGACTAAACTTTTGATCCATACCAAAATTGAAGATTATTTTTTGATACAGAAAGGAGTTGCTTGTGTGATATTCCTCGATGGTCGTGTTGAGGAGCAATGGCAACGAACCTTGAATTTCCACTCCTGTGCAGACGAGCTCAAGAATAAGGGTGGACATGGCACACACTTGAGACTTAGATGCCCTTTCACAAATCCCTGAGATGATGACTGGCTTATCCAACATGGGAATTCTCTTCCCGAGTACTGTGCATGTGAATGGCTTGGACTCATGTCAGCTCTATTCAGATTGTGAACTGATGAATAACTCACAAAGTACGGATGTAGCTCTTTGCACTTTGCACCACCCTCTTCGAGTTCATGGCAACCGGGACACTGGAAGTCTATGTCCTTGGCACGGGCCTTGTCTGTGAGCCACTGCACTAATCCTAAGCAGGGGTCACACATGATGCAAGGGCAGGAATAGCACTTGAATAAGTATTTAGCTCCATTGTGGCAAAGGTAGCAATACTACTTATCGTGTTAGCAGTGATAGGAGGATGGACCTATAGTACATACCTGGTTACACCACTCCTCAGCCAGAGAGGACTGTCCCTGAGAGGGTGGAACAGATGTCAATGAACTCAGTGTTGAAGCCTTTGAGGTGGACTGCATGGATGCGTGTCGGATGGGGGTGGTGTGAGCAGCACGAATGATTTGCACTCGTGGCACAATACTGGACGTGGTTTTCTTGGCATTCTGCCTTGTTGTGAAAACAGGTCCACACAACATAACCGACCACAGTATGTCATGCATGTTCAAATCTTGGCAGCTTCTAATACTAACTCTGCAGGATCATTGAAACTGCTGGCTGACATCTGTTGCCCATTTCACTGAACCTTACTTGTGATACCGTTGGCCGACATCTGTCACCCATATTGTGGAGTAAGTGTTCACAATTTCTCAGCTCGTTGAAACAGTTGGCCTACATCTGTTGCCCATTTCTGTGAGCTGGCGCTCATGCACCCAAACCTCTTTGACCTGCTCATGAAACCGTTGGCTGACATCTGTCGCCTGTTTTGCTGAGCCTTCGTTGGCTGACATCTGTCACCCATATCACAGAGTAAGTGTTCATGATTTCTCAGCTTGTTGAAACAGTTGGCCTACATCTGTTGCCCATTTCTGTGAGCTGGTGCTCATGCACCCAAACCTCCTCAACCTACTTGTGAAACTGTTGGCTGACATCTGTTGCCCATATCATGTAGTAGGTCTTCGCAGTTTTCACACTCAAGGCAACAGACATGGAGACAGTCGGTATATGGTCACAAAATCGACTTGTGATTGTTTTTTTTTTTGACAGGCAGGCCTGCACATTGACCTTTGGTTGTACAGTTGAGATGTATGGCAAGGAAACCTCATTGAACCTCTTCTGGTGTCTCCTGATCAGGTCACTTCTTTGTGCTACACCTCAGTATGTTCCTAATTGCACTCTTGATTGGTTGCTTCATTCATTCTGGATGATAGGGAACAACAAACTTGCCAAAAGGTGGAATACCATTCATGATGCCAGTGGTTCTTAACTTATCTTTTCACAGGAGCAATCATCACCCACATGAATCTCGTGAGTGTGGCATATGCTAACACCTTTGGTACCAGCTTTCCCCTGGGCTGCTGTCTCATGTCATACTTGCCACTGGCGCACATTTATGAGGTTCATGGGATTCTATTGAAGTCTAATAACATATCTCCATCATTTGAGTGTGCAGCGGATTTGCAAATTGACAGTAATCACCATGGGTGGATGTATTGGGTACTCCACTGGTAACCCCTTGCACTTGATGGATGACGCCTTGAAACCTCACTTTTTCCCATTGGTACCATGAGTGCTGAATAGGGTATACCAAGCTGCCATGTCCGCTGGTAATGTGCCAGGTGTGAAGGGTGCTATTTTCTGAACAGCAGCGCAGACGAAACTAGATCAACTTCACAAGACCAGGGTAACTGCCCACATCATATGGGATGCATTGGTGTTCTGCAAGGTTTGTGGCAGGCTTCTTGATGCAGTACTCGATTGGCTCACTCCACTTGGCTTCCAGATTCACACTGCACTTGGAGGGAATGTTTTGCTGATGGTCACCAGTTCCGCTCCCATTAGCAGTGAAGTGGTTGATTTCCTCAAGATCGCTTTTGGTTGTGGTATTACAGAAGGTGCGATGAACCTACTTCTTTTCCTTCCCTCACTAATTTTCATCCAGGGTAAGCGAGGTCGCAGGATCGCTCAATTATGTTCCATTAATGACTCTGGGCAGTTATGGCATGACAGAGAATTGTGGAGTTTGCACATGCACTTTGCAGGGAGACCCAACTGGTGGCGGGGTGATTGGCCTGCTTCAACCAATTCTCGAAGTCAAACTCATTGACCTTCCAGCGATGAATTACCTGTCTAACGATAAGCTGAACCCATGTGGAGAGTTATGTGTCCATGGCCCAAACTGCTTCATGGGATATTATAAAGGTATGTCTCATCTTTGCCATTTACTAAGGCCTGTGAAAAGAAATGGTATCCATCAGATGAGAAGACTGCCTGGGAGACACTGAAGGATGGCTGGATACACACTGGGGATGTCACAGAAGTTGATAGTTCTGGATGCTTCAAGATCATCGATTGAGTGAAGGTGCATTGTCTTTTTTGGCCCACCCCTGGTGTGGGTAAGTAATCCATACACACCAGAACATTATGAAATTGGTGCAAGGCGAGTACCACTGAACACGCCACTTTCACTATCCTTCGTCTCAGCCTCCCCTCCCCAAGGACCTGTAACACTGGGCTCAACAATGTTGGCTCTTGGCACCATCTTGGCATCCATCCACCTGCCCCCCCTCCTAGTTAGCCCCTCCTGCAGCCACCACCATCACCCTTATCTTCTACCCCATCATGAAGAGTTCTCAACCCATCTCCAGCTCTGCCATCACCGTCAATGGCCGCATTGTGGGCTCCATCACCACCAGGACAGCTTTGTGTGATGATGTTGATGACCTGTAGGAGTCACCTTCTCAGGTGGAGATGTCATTGACTATTGTGGGTGCAGGTCTGTTGTGACATCCTTCAGGTAGCTTTTTGGATCTGGAGTGTACTGAGTCAGGGCTTGCACCTGGAAAGGGATCACATCTCTCCCCACTATGTATATATGTATCAATATCCTGTGCATCGTCGCACCATGAATTCCCATGTATATGGTATTATATTGAATCAACTACTTCTCTCACAAGATGAAGTTGTCGTTGTCACTATGTTCATCATGTAAATATCCTTCCATCATATCGTCTGTGAAGGTTGTTGTCACTGTCCCAGGTGCCCTGTCAATGATACCCCATCTCCCTCACATCTTGACTAGGCCTACAACAGCTCTTAAGCTCCTGATATCCATAATTATCCTTGCTTTTTGAGACTCGAAGAACACGACCTCTTCTGAGGCTACCTTTCCATCTGTGTCCCATGGTCTAACAAGTGCGACAACAATGGTTTTGCCTCTGAGTTCTCCAAAGAGTGGTGTGGCAGGCAAAATGAGGGCTATTATTTTTTCTAGGTCACCATACCCAGTTTGGGTTAAGACAGAACCTGTGCAGGTCTCAAACACTGTTTTGAACTATGGTATTTAGTAACTAGAGACATTACAAGTATCTGACCATGATGGACCTACTCTGACATAGCAATTCCTCTGCTCTAATGCACCAAATCTGCATGACACTTCTTTAGTCCTGAAATAAGTCTCCACCATGGCAGACCCTAAGCTTGCCTGCTGTAAACAGTGCAAGTGCTGGAAGCTGTTTCTTGATCTCTGAGCTTTGTTTGCCAAGTACTTGTCCCAAGTATCATGCGATCCTTTGTGGAGGTCACAATCAAGCTTGTGCACCATCTCATAGGGAGGCTGAAGCACATGGTCTGGGTCTGGTCAGTTTGAGAATGAGTTTTGCATGTAAGTAACATCGGTGCATACTCACAATCCTTGAGGACATGTTCATATCCTATTGGACTGTCATCTTCACACTCATCTTCATTTGCAAGCTCATCTGAAAGGTTGTATTGCATCCACAACTGTTCCAGGTATGTGTGATGAAGTAATGCTTTATTTAAATTACTCCAAGGGTGGCTGCATGAACAGAGTGTATTCTGGAGCATCCCACAAAAGTGCTCCATATGAAAGGTCCAAGTGGTCCACACTGGCCCACAGTCTCGGATACCCTGTATGACATGTAAGATACCATGGATCATGAGCATGCAAGCTGGCAGGTGTTCAATATCATATTGATAATAGTATCTAATGACAAAAATTAGTGTTGTGATACAATTGAATCAGAAACACACATACCTCTCATATTTCTGCACCCAATCTATAACACAGTCTTTTGATATTGTCAAGTTGTCTGTGTGGGGTGCGAAACTGTAAAGTAGCCTTCATAATTGCTGCTAGCTCACACATGTGCTTGTAGTATTTGTCTTTGGGAAAGGCACCCCTTCAGTAGCTTCGGAGCAAGATGCATGAACCAAAAACACCATGTCTCCGCCATAAAGAGTGAGCAGTCTGTTGCGATATTCATGAACACATGGACAAATGTAGATGGTATGTGTCAGGAGAGCAGCAGCAGTTTCTTTTCCAATCTCCTCCCAAATTTTGGTCACAATTTCGAAAGTCTTCATTACCCGTCCCAAGACCCTTGAATTGGCCTGTCCAGAAGTCAACAAGGTTGAGGACAATGTTCTCTAAGAACAAATGAAACCATTCCCATGGGGAGGATCGTGTGTAATCCAAGGACCTGACATGAGTCAGGCCTGGCAATCCTTTGATGCCAGTCTCCTTTGCAATCATCACCATCTCTTTTTTTGTTTCAGCCACCACAATCCTCACCATTACATCTGAGAAGTCATTGTGGTGTTGTAAGGGGGCTGGTTGATAGAGGGCCCTTGCACTGTGGTTTTGAGATGGTGGGTGAAGAGGGACGTAATAGGTCTTGCCTAAGCGATGAACAGCTTTCACCTTGCATGAACAACAAGGGAAGATTGAGTTATGGCCCTTGAGATTTAAGAAGCGCTCGATTGCGATGATATCACCAGATTTGATGATGATATATGCATGCATCTTGAAAAGGGCTTGCTGGGATGCATCGAAAGTCTGGATGCTGTATGCTAGCTCAGGCACATTCATTGTCCAGGGGAATGAGAAAAGAATGAAGGTCCTTGGGTTGGTGTGGGCCAGGAATAATTCCGATGCACAATAGGTTTTTGCTGTGAGTTCACACATGTGGAGGCAGGTTGTAGTTCTGCAACAGGAGTGGTGTACCAGACAGGCCCTTGTGTCGCCACCTGAAGAGTAAATAGCTGTTGGTACAAAGGCCCAATGCGATGTCTCAGGAATCTGAGAAGTATTGGTGAGGTAACTCTTCTCCATCAACAATAACATGACAATGGAGAAGCCACTGGTAATGATTCCCATTGAATACATCCGCAATCTCTCCTCTCCCAATATCATAATCTGCACAGTATGAGAGCATTTTGATCATCCTCATGCTTTGGAAATACCCTTGCAGTTGTGGGATAAGCGGGAGATATGTTAATTGTTGATGTGGCCTTCCGTACTGGTTGAATTGCACTTCTCAACAGAATGGACAAGACTGAAGATAAATATATTTTTCGGTGTAGGCCACACATGAATTTCTGCAGCAGTCAACCAAGAGGGGTTTGATCCCAGATAGTTTGGCCACACACTGAAAGATGACATATTGCGAGTCAAGGTTCATTTTGTGTCAGAAAGCGAATTGCATCTGTGAGTAAGCATGTTGAGTGATTTGGCCCATTATAAGGAGGTTAAATGTGCGGATATTGTCACAATCTTTGTCTGATAGAATATCATTCCCTGATGCATGATCTGTTCACACATTAGAGCCAGGGCAACCAGGCACGTATGGAGAGTGAACAGATCTTGTTTTCTTTTGTTTCTCGCATTGTCTTCCAACTCATCCAGCAGCTCATTATCATCTCCCTCAAGCTCTTTAGCCCATACCCATACATCATCTTGAACGTCACTTCCAGGGTTGGCCTTGGACTCAGACACCCCACTCACACCTGTTGTGTCCGATGACTCAGATGGAGATGCCAGGTGGGAATGACCACCTGAGATGATTACTTTAGTATCATTTAATGTTCAGCTTGTTGAGCTGACCTTCAGCCAGATCTAGTTGGGGGCTTTCTTCACCTGTCAGGCTTTCAGAGTCACACATGCCTGCCAGTTGCCCCATGGACGCAGC